CCAAATCATCTTGGCATCACTGGGATAGCACTACAGAAATCTGTCCATGTGACTTCACATCATCACCACCACAGGGAACAACTTATGCACCAGCCAGGGCAGACAGACCTGTAAACCCGCTCCACTCACAACACGCTGCTTTCACTGACAGCAGTGACAAATAGTGTCCTGCCCATCAGTCCTCAAGGCCTCAAATACAGACAGAGACCTGCTATTTTGTGCTCATGGTTTTTATGGAGAAATTATCTGTTCTAATTTCAGATGCATTACTCTGTACTTCCTACTGTGAACAATTTTGGGTTTCTTTTTTATATGACAGCTTTACAGAAAATGAAAACTGATCATCCCAGCAGTAGCACCATGAGAGGAGGTCCTGACAAGCTGCAGACCCACAGTTCCTCCACACCAATATCAAGCAAGGGCAAAGCTGTTCAGGAGCACTATGAGAAAGGGAGCCATTGCCTGGCCACAGCAGCTGGGACTCATTTGCTTCCCAGTCATCTCTGAAGAATACATTCCTTTTTCTTCTCCAAGTGTCCAAGTCACACAGCACACACAGGTATCATCGTCTTGCAAAGAGTTTGTGCCTGCCCTGGTGACAGTCTGTCATTTATTTTAGTTGAGTGAAAGTGCACATTTGGCCATGTAAAAAACACCCCAGGTTGCCAGGTGAGCAGTGTGCAGCCGCTCCCCAGAACATGTCATGTGCTTCTGATCAAGGTCTGTGATGGGACATGACAGCAGCCTGACACCTGACCCAATCCACACCCTCACTGTTCACACAGGACTACAGATGTGTCCATCCTCTTTTTGGTGCTATGTGCATTTTAGCCAGGAGAGAGAAATATTTCTGGTCATGTGGTGGCAAAGGCACTGCAAGGTCATTCAGAAAGAGTGACAGGGCCAGACGAACCTGTTGGACATGCCAGACATTGTCTACAGGTCACAGGATGAACTCTCAACTGAGAATACTGTATAATAATTTTCCTCTGGCAACTTACCTGAATGAAAACTCATGAGAATTATTAAGTTAAACTGGAAAGTTAAACTTATGTTAAATAATGCATTTATACCACAGCTGCTTTTCCATACAGGGTCTCAGTTGGTCTTGTACAACATAATTCAACAAAATCAGCAAAAATCAGTCTGGACAAGGCACAGGCTTCAGCACAGGCCTGTTAGTCTCAGTTTTCAGAGCTTATATTCACATGCTGAAAGGTACCTTGAGTACTTACACTGTTCTGTGGACATACCCCAAAACAATTCCTACTTCCTATTTTTCTAAAACTGAAGTTCTAGAGCAAACAATTAATCACTATGAATTTGCTATTCAAAATTAATTTCAAAATCTGAGCACAACTAAATCAAACTATTGTATGTATATATAGCTTATGGTCTAAAAAAGAACAAGAAAAACTCACTTAAGAACACAGGTTAATTATAAAATAAAAATTGGTTTTATTTTAATAAAAAAGGAAAGTAATAGGGTAAATCAATTATTCTTCCAATTAACTTCTTCAGGAGTAATATATTTCCTTTCAGAATAATTAATGTACAGAGAGAAAGTGGGTTAGACTATTTCACCCTGCAAGAATATAACTGGAACACAAGAACCACTTAAGGAAGGAGAGAATCAAGCCTGATACCACTGGAATGTTCTTCAGGCTGGGCATTTGATGTGAGCAATTGTTCACCAGTAAATAGCACAAAATCACTTAGAGATCCATTCTCCTCTGCAATATATTTCAGGAAATAGAACTCTTGGCAGTTACACCTGCTGAGCTATAAGATGTTCTGCCAATAAATAGAGTTGACATTTGAGGATGCTACATTTCAGCCAAAACAACATGCTTTGCAACCCAGAAGTCCTCTGCCAAATAGAATCTATCATGTTTCCCTGCCCTGAAAAATTTTGATTATGGTGATTTTTATTTTTTTTTGACCTCCATAAATATTGAAAATTTTTCACTGTTGGTTTTGGCAAACTGATCAAAATGAATAGAGTAAAATAAGAATTAAAAAAAAAGAGCTATGAAGTGCAAGTATAGAAGAGATATTCCTTCTAGCTTAAAGAAAAACATGTTACCAACTGTTGTGCAAACACCTCAGTGAAACATACTACAGCATTTGCTCAGTTTTGAATTAAACTCTACAATTTCTAGCACACCAAAAGTTAAAATCTTCACATTGATTAAGACCATAAATTGCTGCTCACTACTTATCAAAAACAGCTTGAGTTACTTACAGAGGTATTAGACCACCTTTCACAGTGTGCCCTATTCAGGATCAGATTAAGCCCATTCCTACTCTTCCTCCATCAACCAAATAATCATTCTCTTGCAACATTACAAAAATCAGCTCAAAATAAAAATCTCTGGACATGACTGAAGAGCAAGGAGGTTCAACACAAGTGTTTATTTCATAACTTCTAGAATAAAAAATGTATGAAATTTCAAGCACCCCAGTAGACTGAGATTATGAGCTGAAGCAAGAGGAATCATCTTTACAAGCTTTAAATTAACCTTCTCAGAAGTGCCTTTACTGGAACAGTGCCATTAAAATTCAAATTAACTCTAACTTCTGTGTGAACAGAAAGTCTGAACTTAATATTAGTAATTTACAACAGATATCTTGTAAATCTTTCACAGCACTCAACTTCAGGGTAGCATTAAAAGCATATTTCTAAGCAGTTTGAAGCCTAATCCACAAGGAGATTGCTTATCTACAAAGCCACCTGCATGCTGTAATTTAAAGAATTATGCTGAGAAAAGAGTATGTAGACTATTTTAAGTGGCTTTTTTCCCCTACTGTTTACAAAAACCATTTTTGAAGTATCCATAACACAACTTCCCTACCCTCAACTAGTGAATTGCCATCTGCTAATCTTAGGAAGAAAAAAGAAAAAAAAATAATATAATTCTCCAGGTATTAGCCTGTATAACAGTAATTTAACTCCTGCCTTCCATGCACTCTTTTCATTTTTATCATTGTTTCTCATCCCCATTATGCATTTTCTCCTTCTGTCCATCCTTAAGAAAAGCCTCCTTCTCCATCTCAGCTGCCAGTTTCTGAATTGTTAATACAGCCAGAAAACAGCAGTATGGGGACTGGCTACTTTTGCAGGAAACTGCACAAGCAGCAGTTAAACTTTTAGCATCAATCACACAGCTGGGTCAGCTCTGACCAACACAACTGATAAAGTGGGTGAGCCAGGTGACAGGAGATTCCCTGGGAGAACACCACAGGTTCAAAGACATTTAATTTCAAGTGTCTTAACACAGCAGCTGAGTTGCTGTAATTTATTTTGTAAGGACTCAAGCTGCCAAATGTGTTTAACACATTTTACCTTACTGTTGGGAGTGGTCAAGAACACACAGCCAGCTCTGATCATCTGCAGGTAATCATTAAGGCATTATAAATGTCCTTCTTTGATTTAAGGCTTCTATTGAAAATTTCAAGTAAAAAATTATTGAAAGCCACTATAGAAATGGTGATGTTCCTAAAAGAATTCCCTTAAAGGAACACCTGACTGCCCCTCTCATCTGTGTAAATTGCCAGCCTGGGTGCTGGCATGATACAGCCTTGGCAGCTGCAGAAGCTCATATTGGGTTCTCTGTGTGTGCTGTGCATGTGCCACCACAAAGCTTCCTCTGACATGTGCCCACAAGATGTCAAGGGCAGCCTGTCAGCCACAGCACATCTTGCTGCACCCCTGCATGGACACTGACAGCATCCAGCCCTCCATGAAACGCTGCCAAAAGGCTGGGCCCTTACAGGATAAATTTTCTTACAAGTCTAACATGAAATACTGGTCTTGCTGTGTTCACTGGGAATTTTACAGCGGACTTGAAGGCAGCCAAAAATTCATTGCCATTTTTTAAGTATCCCATGCAGAGGACATAGGCACATTAAAATAAAATTTTAAAAAAATTTAAAGCTTTAGATTGAATATTGCCCAAAACTGGGCACCACTGGCAAGGGAACCAGTCCTATATCAGCATAGAAAGCTGTGGCACACCTGCATCCTGAGCACCATACACAACTGTCTCTCCACATGTGAAGTTAACAGCAGAGCAAGGGAAGGCACAGAGCACGGTCAGTAACTTGGCTACCTCTGAGAAAGCAGCTGCTTTACAGGGAGACACAAGAAAGGCTGGGACTCTTCAGTTTAAAGACATGGCTGAGGGGCATATATCTGATGCCTGCAAAACTATAATGGCAGCAGATGAAAAGAATGCAGACCAGGTTTTCCACAAATCCTACAATACGAGGCATCAGGAAGACCTGGTGAAATTAGCATATCAGCTTAAAACCAATGAAGGACAGCATTGCTTGGCACAGAGTCTAGAATTTCACAGTGAACATCTAGAATTTGCTGGCACAAAGTTGTGGACTCAGAGAGGACCAACACATTCAGGAAGGGAATTGACAAATTCACAGACACCAAATTATAAGCACACTCTCCAACATCCCTAGTCTAACAATTGTGGGATATTAGAGAAAAAAGTGGCAAAACCAGTGATCTGGCTAGAATTAAATTCCTAAATTGCATTTCCCTGTGGATGCAGACACATTACTTACTTAGATGGTCCACTGGTTGCTCAACATTTAAGTTCTTAGGCATATTGCTATGAAGCAACAGCAAAAACCTTACTGGGAATTATGAGCAAATTTGGCCTGGCTATGCAGGTCAACAGAGTCTGCAGCTTTTTAAGTCAAGGCTGCTGTTTATGTTTGCAGAGAAAATTCAGTGGATTATTTCACACTGATACATATAAGAGGCAAATAATCACAGGTACTAGAGACACGTTTACTTAAGAATTTCTGCTACAGTTTTGGTCTATTTCAGTGTAACTAACATGCAGAAACTGAAGCATGGCTTGCAAAGCTTATTTTGGTAAGCAACGACAATGTAGGACCAAACAATACTAGTCTCCCTAGATTACATCAATTTCCAGCTTGAAATTTTGCATTGTTCCAGTGCTGTTTTTCTGGCTTACCTTCACTGCACTGAAGCAGAAGGCATAGAGGACAATCAGAACAACAAAGCTGCGGGAAATGCTGTACAATGCAGACACAAACCCAGCAGCAGCTGAAATAGAGACATGTGGTAAGTGGGAAGAAAGAGGAACTTTATTTCTGACCCAAACTAAGATGACAGTGTAGATGCATCTCAGTCCTCCCAGCTACTTAAGCTATAATGAAAAACAACAAAAAAAAAAAAAAAAAAACCCAAAAAAAACAAACCACTACCAACAAAAAATCTTGATGCTTCATCTCTCAAGGGCCTTCTTTAATCTCTGACTGAAATAACACAAAAAATTTATCACACATCAAGATTCTTGTCAATATGCCTTTCTGTGGAAAAATGCAAACTTTTTTTTCTAGATATTAACAAAAAAATAAAGTTAAAGGTGTTCTTTTTAAATAAATATAGTAAAGATTCACATCACATATGGCAGGGAAGAGCTCTTTGATATCAACCATAATTTGCAACCTATAGTTTTAAAAACCTGTATACAATTTTTCAAAAGCAAAAAGAAATCTAATCAAGTGGGCCTTATAAGTATTCACCCCACTGTTAGATGAATTGTATTATATGTTTGAACTTTAAAATGCACTGTGCTATGTAACATGCAATAATATATTCTAGTTTTAGGTTGTAAGCCCAGAAAGATGGCAGATGGCTACTTACCAGAACCACCAAAAAGCAACATATCTATTTGTTCCAAAAGATATATGCAGAAGGTATTGATTTGAGGGAAAAGTCCAAGAAGAGAAATTGCAGGAAAACAATATAAAAACACTAAGGGAAAAAAAAAAAAGAAGTATTTTAGAACACAGCCATACATCCAATGTATGGAAAATAAAGAAATATGCATGACAGCAGAATAAGAAATTGTCGCAATAAATTCTGAAAATTATTCAAGCGAGCATACCTTAACCTTACCAGCAATGATTACACTTTCCTCCTCATGTATTCAAGATAAATAATGCCATTTTACAAGTAAGAAACTAAAACTCAGAGTTAATCTTAAGATTGATTTTGGACAAAAACGGTGGCAGAAAAAAGAGCATTGAATAGCCTCCTTACTGTTTTTCAAATACTTTCAAGCTTAATATTTGTTCCTTTCAAAGTAGAGAAATTTTAATTTGCAGACTTTGGAACTTCTTCCTTGAATCTGAGATAGCTCAAGAACAGCTACAATAATTCAATAAAGACAAACAAAAAATAAATTAATGGCTAAGATCTGAAATGTCTTGGCTATCACAGTATTCTTCCTCTCCCAGCAATCAAGAGCAGACACTTATAGCAGCCCCTAAAAATGGGAGAAACCTACAGTGAAGTTTCCCCCAGTATTCCACCTGCTTCCAGCAGAATGGACTTTAACTTCACAGTAGTGAAAGAACATTAAAAACAGGAAAGAAACTCAGGGGTAAGATCCAGTCTTACAGCTTTAGAAACCCTCTTTCTGAACAGAAATGCTAATTTTAATGCTACTTTTAATGGCAAGGAAAAGCAGGAGTCATAATTCAGGTAATCAGGCTGCTAGTTTTAAGTCCTGCTTACTTCCAGTCCTCCTCCCCATTAATTCACTCCCAGCTCCACCATAGAAAATGGTGGCAAGGCTGACTAGCAAAGCATCTAAACACACACTCGACCCAAGTGTAAATGTTCAAGAATACACACACATAATCACATTAATCAACGTTTCTCATATTGTTAATCATATTCTTACTGCTTCATTGTACTAGTACCACAATGCTCTGCATGGCAGAGAGTGTGTCAGCCACTCTTCCTTGTAAACAAGTCTGTCTTTGTTACTTTAGATCCTAGGAAGACTGCAGTTTCCTCCTATGCATTCTCATAAAAAGCAAATTAAATAAAGCACTGGTATTATTAGACTTATTCCCCATTCCTCCAGTCAGATTTTTGAGAAGGGAACAAAAGGATTTGTGTTCTTTGCTGAATGCTAATTTCACATCTGCCAGCTCATCTTACTAAGGCATCTTGCACTAAAAGGAAACAACACACCAAGTTTGATCTGACAGCTTTTATCTTCATATTATACACTGTTGCTACCTAATACTGTAAATCTTGCTGAGAAAGCCCAACACAGGAGAGAAAAAGACATGTTCAAGTGCTAAACACAGACAGCACTCAAGTATACTTGGATTCACAATGCACCTTCAGCACTACTTCCCACTACTGGCACAAATCATCCATATGTAAGAAAATGAGGAAATGCTCTCTTCTCAGTGTTTTACATAAAAATGCCTATATTAAATTATTCTTCTTCTCTTACTCTGCACATTTTTAGATATTCTACCAAGTCATGCCAAGCCAAGGAAGGATCACTCTTGAAGACAGGCAATGGCACAAAAGAAAACTGCTCCGCAGGCCATGTGGACCCAAAAACACACTGCTGAAAATGTTTTAACTATCCCCAAAACACACTGCTGAAACTTTCAGGAGATATTGTTTCTTGGGCAAAGGACCTGCAGAACTGCCAGAACTCATCTTATACTACAGACTTATAGCCCAAATGACTGCCTCTGCTGTAGCAACCTCAGAAAAAGTGGAATAAGAGCAATGGAAGAAAGGATGAGATTAAAGAGTTGACAGTACACCAAGATATATAGAGACAAATGTAAACAAGGAGGGAAAAGTCAGTTGACTATAAAACTGTCCTCACCTCACCCACTCTCTATCAATACCTTGAACAACTCTAGCAACTTCTTTAGCCAAGGAAGCTTAGTTTATCTCATCTTGCACCAAGGAGCATACGGGACAGGAAAATAAACAGTTGTTACCTACAAAAAGATTGCACTTAGAAGCAGCAGATTCCCTTTTGGGAAGCAGACAATAAAAGTAACTGATTAATCCTTTGGAATTGCATTATGAATTCCAGAAAGAATTTCTTTAAGCATCACACATTTTCATAGAGACTCACAACCCCTTTAAAAGCTGGACCACTAAGAAATCATTGTGCAAGCTGCTGCTTTTAACACTGCAGTTTTCCTCCAAACAAGCACATATCACATAATGAGAATGAGGGAAATAATGAGTGAGAGGGAAACACAAATTATGACTTTGGAAAAATTGTGTCTTTGGAGCAATGCAGAACAGCAACATCACATTGCAAACATTTTAGACATTTAGAAAAAAGATTATTTTAAAAAAGTATATATCTGAGTAGTAAAACACGGGTTTTTTCACAAGGAAAAATAAAAGGCATTATTTCAGTGAGAAATAGTCTTTCTTTTCTCCCCCTCTTGAACATGGGAGAGCATAACATCTACAGGCTTTCTTCCCTTGACAGAAGCTCAGTCACTGTTAAAAGGAGCAGGCAGAGGACTCACTATCAAAAAATTACGCCACCTTCTGATTCTTAAGTCTTCTGAGATGTCTGTGAAATAGTTTCATTTACCTGTTGAATGTTTAAATGGTTTCATCACAAGAACTATCATATATAAAATGCACAACTACTTTTGTCACTAACCACACCTGTAGGTCCCAGTGACTGAGGTTGGTTGTCTGTGCCCTTACTTGCACTTCATATGTTAAGCTAGCAAAAACGTTAACTGAAATAAGGAATTCAAGACGAAAACCACAATCAGAATTAAAGTAATGAGCCTTCAACCAATAGAAATTTAAATCAATAGCAGAATCATCACCAATTTAAAATAAAACAGAACCAGATCATAAGCAGACTGAAAATAAATGAACGTGTTAAAAACCATGTTTAATAAGTAATTAGGTTACACATCTAACAAATCTGCAATTATTTCTTTTATGACCTTGCTTCAAGACTTTTATCAGAATATGATATGCAGCATCACACTAGCTCTTTGGTACATTCTATGAGTTACATGGCTTTTGCTTTTTACCATAATAAGCACCTGAAATAAAAGGCTTTTCCTTTCCTTGGTACTTAAAACACAGAGTCAAAAGTTCTTTGATTTCCAAACATATCAACTCCAAATACCACAATAAATTCTGATTAAAATATAAACTAAAGAGTCACCTTATGATGACAGAACAATAAAAAGATATAAAAAATACCTAGCAAATAGGCAGAACTACGAGACAGCAGTAAGACTTTATTGGTATTCGGAGTCACCAACTTCCCTCATTATTTTATAGCCCAAACAAAATACTTCTATACCTTCCTTACCTAAGAGAATCTACACTAAAAGTGCAGCAAGATGCCATAGGATGCCAGACTGCCATGGCTTACAGAGGTCACTGCACTGTGAACAAGAGCAAGGATTCACAGCAGCCAGAAGTTAGGGCTCCCATAGAGAAAAAGCAAGGAATAGCCAAAGCACAGCACCAAGACACCATGGCAAAACAAGAACAGGAACAAGCAAAGGGAAAGGGTTTCTTCTCTCTTTCTCATTTAACACATGCCAGCTGGGGAGATGAGCCTGTATTTCCTCTCTCCCCCACCCCCTCCTGCTTCAAGAACATGCTCTGCCATCTCTTTTGAGACCAGCCAAAATTAACACATTTATAACCACACTTTGTTTTCTTATGCTGGTTGCTATAGTTTTTCATTTATCTCTATCCCAAGTGTCATCTAGAATTCTTGTTGAATTATTTATCAGCATTTTTACTGCTCACCTTTGACAGACAGAGAAAATAAGATGTAAGGAGAAACTTAAATGAGACCAAAGGAAAGTAATGAAAGAAGCTAATTAAAAAAAGTGAGACACATGCAGCTCTTCACATTCCCCTGTTTCTGGTGAGAAGTGGGAGCCATAGTACCCTTGTTAAGGACCAGGAAGCTTTCCTAAAAATAGTATGCCTTTCAGGCAGTAAGTCTGACCTGAGTATGGCAAAAAGCAAGTACAACAGTCACAGGTGAACAAAGACCTCGAAGGTTACACACTATATCACAAAAATGGTTTTCTTCTCCTACAGTATGGTCTCCTGGTTCTAAATTCACAAACCACCAGACCATCTTTGGTACACTACAACACAGCTTTCTGGGAAATTTTCACAACTTTTACAGTAAACCTCACATTCCCTACTGTGTCCCTTAACAGTGTTGCACTATACATGGGAGTGCAGTCCAGCACTTGTATCTGTGCCTCAGCTGGTGTAACATCACAGTTACAGACTGTAAGTCTGGTGTGCAACAGGAAGAAGTGTCCTGACACAATAGGGTAATGTCAGCTGTGGCCACTCCAAACCAGGGCCAAGGGATCACCACACCTGTCTTGGGGCAATATCTGAATGTCCTCAGCAACCTTAGAACATGATTCTAGAAGGAAACAGGTTGAAAGAGCTACTGCAGAGTGGCTGCTCCACACTAACTGGTCATACGGACAGTATGATTAAACTAAACCAAGATAAAGCACTTTCTTGGTGATCAGAAGATTAATGTCCATCTGAGGAATTGGCATGGATTAGCTTCCAGGCATTAAATTTAAAACTCAAGTTATTCTGCAGTAACTGCTCCACACAGACAAGCCATTACACAGATGAACAGCATTTCACAGATGATGATTTTTGCTAATAACACCAGCGACTTTTAGTTTTCTATGGAGACATTTCCATGAGCCTCATTTCATTAAGAACTCCTTTTACATGAGGGAAGGTTGCCAGCTGCCCCTGCCTCATCTTAAGTCATTCCAAATGTTTCTATCAATTTGATTTCAGGTTGTGCCTCATAACTTGCATTTGATTATCAGCATGGGAAAACAAAGACTCACACTTAATTCCTTTTTGCAGTCCTAGGAAAAACATTGACTCACCTATTACATGGTCCCTGGCTGACTGGAGAGACCTGGGTGAGAAGAGCTTCAGGCCATACATTGTATAAACAGGAGGATTTGTGTCTTTAGATCCAGCATCTAGCAGCAAAATAAGGCCACACAATATACAAAAATATACAGGTCTGCTGTAGATTATGATTTTATTGTGTCCCTGGAAGAAAAACCAAAACGTTAGACTTTTATATTCATTCTTCTACTGCATGCACTGCATTAACCTGGAGAGAGGGTCAGGAGTCAGACAAAATATTTTAATGACTTATACATAATAATTTAGTAATAAAAATGTGACAAAGTATTTAATCTTCTTCCAGAGCAGACTTTCAAAGGACACAATAAGCAGTTCAGATTGACTCCAGCAACCATTTATGCTTTTGAAAAACTTACCCTTCTAGACATTTCAAAACTTACTAATTCCAGGAGTTGCCATTTTTTGTGGGGAAAGAAACCTCAATCTGTCTGCATCTTTCTTCTCAGCAGAAAAAGAATTTTTCTCTGCATTTCTTTTACTTCAATGAACATGTGCTTCAGGTGGTTTGACTTTTTTTTTTACTTTATGAAATTTAAAATTAATTTAATTTTTAATTTACTCCTGGGAATAAGAACTATAATAGAGCATATGCCTGGTACAGTATGAGGCATGGGGATGGATTTTTCTTCATGAATTTAATTTTTTTCTTTCTTTAAACCACTTGACAGCAAATCAGCATGCCTTCTGAAAGGGGTGACACTCATCAGCAGTTTCTGGTCTGCTTCTTATGAAGCACTTTGAAATTATGATCCAAAGGAAGTAGGATGTGGAAGGAACCTCGTCTGATACCTTTCATACAAATCTCTCACACAATTGATTCCCACTAATCCTACAAAACACTTTTGTGGGGCTGCAGGCCAGGGAACTCAACAGACACTTAAGAAGAACCTTAATAGCTCTCCTGGTAGCAAGCTTAAGGGTAACTAAGACATTTTAAACACTCATGAGTCAAAAGTTTCCTAGAGTGTGAAAAGCCAGAATCAAAGTGACAAGAATCCAAGTTTGACTCGCTTAAAGCTGCCATGCAACTGTTCTTATTTGAAAAATGTAATTTAAGTGAGTATAATAAAAGCTCATGTCTTTTTTTGAGTCTACTTACTGACTTGAAACTGTGGCTGAGTTTGTTTGGCTGCCAGCCAAGCTTGCATGTTAGATTGCTATTAACTGATCTGTACTCTCTTTTGGGATCAATCAGTTAACAAGGTGGCAGATTACAGGGAACTGGTGGGCTCACATCGTGCCTCACATCCATGGAATATGAATCAAGTCAGGGACATAAATCCTTGCTCTTTAATCAATTTCAATTTCACTACTTCATTTTTTTATTTTTTAATTGGACACATGTCCACAAAACAATCCGTGGAGAATTATAAAGATAATGATACGACTTTAAAAAAGAAAAATAATTTAAACTATTACTTTCTGGCCTTTTTTAAACTTCAGTTCATTTATGCAAAATATGAGCTGTGCCTTAGGAAAAGAGACCAATAAATATGCACCTAAACAATTGCTTTATGTTTTGTATGCTGACATTCACTCTAGGCTGTTTTGTGGTGATTACACTCTGTCACATTCTTGTCTTACCTCTTGACCTATGGAAGCCAGTTTTATCTTTGCACAGTGATTATTTGAAGGCATCTGGGTAAGATGAGAGTTGATGACTACAAGCCCAGAGGTTTAACTCCACACACCTTGCAGTCACATGCAGAACACTGACATAGTCAATTAGGATTACAGTGCATATTTAACTCTTACTTATAAAGAAGTCTATGGTGTGCTGGGTGAAGAGCTGGCTGAAGGGTGGGCACAGCTCAAAGAGCTGCACTGAAAGGGGCCACATCTGGCAGGACCCATCAGCAGTGAAGTTCTTCAGGGCTGAGTTCCTGCACCATTTAGCAAGTTTGCAAAGATACCAACCTCAGAGGTGGTGCTGCTGACTCTGTTGAGGGTCAGGCAGCTTTGTAGAGGAAACTAGAGAGACGGGAATGCTGGGCAGTGATTAATGAGATGCAATGCTAGGTCCTGCTCCTAGGATGAAGGAATGTTGGGCACAAGGGTAAATTGTGAGATGAGTGGCTGGAAAGCAGCCCTGCAGAAAGGGGTCAAGGGGGGCTGCTCACCAGCAGGTTCAATGTGAGTCTGCTGTGAGTGCCACCAGGGAAAAGTGCATCTGGAGTGCATCAAACACAGCCACATGAGCTGGTCAAGAGATGATTATCCTGCTGTACTCAGCACTGGTACAGCCCCACCTTGAGTGCTGCGTGTTTTGGGCCTCACCATTTAAAAAGGATGTGAAGGTCCCTGAAGGCATCCAGAGGAGAGCAACAAAGCTGGTGAAATCGTTGGAAGGAGTGTCCTATAAGGAGCAGTTAAGGATTTTGGGCTGGGGTAGTTTGGAAAGGACAAGGCTGAGGAGCAACTTCATTGCTCCCTACAGGTTCCTGAGGAGAGGAAGTGGAGAAGGTGCTGCTGGCTCCTGTCCCATCCAGTGACAGGATATGTGGGAATGGCTCTAAGCTGCATCAGGCAGGAGTATTCCTTTTGAAAAGGTGTCAAACACAGGAACAGGCTTCCTAGAGAGGTGGTTGATGCCCCAAGCCTGCCAGGGTTTAGAGGAAGCATTTGGACAATGCTCTTAACAACTTGTTCTGACTTTTGGGCAGCCCTGAAGTGGTCAAGCAGTGCCACTGGATGATCATTGCAGGTCACTTCTATCTTAGTTAGAATAGAACAGACTAATACAATCACTCTTACCATGCTAACTATAGTAATGCCATTTATGATTAAGGAAGCAGATTCCAGAGGCTTTCTGAAAGCTACAAAATGTGAACAAATACTACCTTCCCTGTTTTTCAGGTGGTGGTGGTGGGTAATGAGACAGAATCTTGTAATCTTTCTAGAACCTCATCAACAGAAGCAAAGCCAATGCAGCAGCAATGCACTCAGCAGGGCAGGGCCTGCACAGCTCCTGCACTACTTGGGCTGTGCTCAAGCTGAATGAGCTTCCTAGAGCACAGCAAATACTCCAGTCCCCACATCTGGGGAACATGCAACACAACACAAGAAAGAGGAACTCCTGCAAGTGTTAATGTGGTATTTCACTGTCATTTACATGCTTCATGTGAGGGGCATTATTTGGGACAGGACTGGTTTGAGGGCAACAGTTGACACCTTCTGGGAAAGAGAAGATCACTTCCCAAAAGTCACAGCCAGGGAATAGACATGAAACTTAATTTTTTAAGGTTTTAGAAAGAAACAAACAGAAAAATAGTAGCAAAGCCTGTACCTGCCACCGACAGACAAAGCTAGGCAGCCCTTCACCAAAATGGGCAGCACAACTTGTTTAACAAGCTCTTTTAGATATTAAGGGTTCATTTTGTTTTACTAAGCAAGCTCACCAGATTTTGACACGCAAAATTGATTTAATCTTGGTGAAATTACTCCACTCTGCATTCTTGTTTAGAAAAATTTAAATAATGAAGCAGAATTCCTTTTATATTTTACATCTCATTTGTTAAACAATCTTTTTTTTTCTTCACTGATAAAAATGTCAGTTAAAGCTTTTCCTTTCCCACAGTCTGCTAAAAAAGTCACTTTTTTCATGTCCATGTTTCTCATTAATATGTTTAAGATACACATTCACATCTTACCAACACAGCAGTGATGCATCTCACATTTCTAAAACAATATTGAAGACTTTCAGCAAGGAGTATTTTCACAAACACTTCAATTTACTACAACAGTAGTTTTGACTGCAAAGCATTTTGATAGAAAAATTTTAGAAATATCTAATGGATTTTTTTTGTTTGTGGGTGCACAAATGTAAAAGAAGAAAGACAGAAGGCTTTTTATATAAAGAAGTGTGCACGTGCTCAGTTCTACAGAAAAGCTTACAGGGACAAATTACAAATACTTTAAAAGTGCCTTATGGGATTTAGGAAACTGCCTGTGGTAGCTACACAACTGAGTTAGCTATCTGCTTTGGGACATAACAGGACTGAGACAATGAATATATGTAAGAGATTCCCTAAATCTTGTTAAGAGCATGACTGCAATCTTTCAAGCTCAAATGCCTTTGTAAGCCCAAGCTAGATGCTGAGCTTTGCAGGTGTCTTATGAGGTGCTTAGAGACAAGCTCTCCTGATCCTTCTATAGAGCCATTTACTAAATGTAAAACCTTGCCTGAGGTTTTTCTAAAATCTTTGAGTGCACATGACAAGGATCTCTTGGATCTCTGAATTTTAATACCCTGCAGTCACCAGCAGGTTGCTTGTATCAGGTCACTAACAGCAAAATATAACACACTTTGGAACGGACTTGATTTTCTTCTCTCCACCACTCCAGTGAGGAGGCTGCTCCCAAATTTCATCATCCCAGAACCACATACCCCTGTGTAAACAGCACTTAAAGGCCACCAGGTCCCAGTGGACCAGAACTGGAAAGGCTAAAACTCCAGCTGACAGGAAAACTGGACTCCCATCTTGTAGCAGACACCAGTACTAAACCTGCAGCAACAATAAAAGCTCTTTCCTCAACAGCAGCCAGTGAATACATTGACACTCAGGGGGAGTTTGGAACAAAAGCTTATGGCATCTCTAGGCACCGTGTTTTCTGAACTCACTGGATGCTATTTTAAAGCAGTCTTTCAAAATGCTACAGGCTAGAGATGACAAAATCACATTAAACAGAAACAAACTCTGCACATGATAGAGGGAAGAAGTTTGGAACCTCCTTGGCAGCTGAAGATAACATAAGGCATAGTGGCTACTCATGGATCCATGAACAGAACTTAATGCACTGTGCAGACCCGAGGCTCATAATGGTTTGTTTCAAACTCAAAAAAATCTCATCTGCATTTTTATTCATGGGTGTGATACTGATCATTCTTCAATCACTCTGCTGTTCTGCATCCTTACATTAACATCAAGAGACATTATTGTCTTCAAATTTAATGCAGCCACATGAATTATGAAACAGTACATGGTATTTCTTCTTGCCTACTCATTCTCCTGTTTCTGAGGTGCTTAGTAGCTCAAGCAAGCCTTTACAAATACCTGTTGTGTTAAAAAGTTATAATGTAGAAATTGCTAATCTTCTATTTTAGCATGACAACACCTCCACCTTTAAAACCCTTAGAGGAAAAGATTTCTAAATTTTATTTCTATTGTAGTTTGTACAGTGCACAAAAAGTTTGCAAGAGAATATCCCTAATAAAGTTTTAGGAAAGAAAAGGAATATGGGAATACACCCATTGTTACTTTGTTCCATTGCTGCATGACTTACACATCACAATACAGCAAATAACACTTGTAATAGTACTGTGAGAACCTGAAATTCAGACCTGGATTCTGCATTAAAAAAAAAGTTCTGTTTAAACACTACTTTATGTTTAACACTATAAAAACATATGGGCTGGATAGGTTCATAATGAAGTTTTGACTAAACTGTTTGCCACCCACTTTAAACAAACGTACACACACAATGTCTGATTAAATGCAAACTATTTGGTCACAGTTCACATTATTAAATCTAGACAGATGCCAGTTGGGCTGACAAATTATATTATTTTACTCACAACATTCACCAACTCTTCACTGAGATTGGACTATTTCTCTAATGTATTGAAAATATTACCCTACAATGGGTAAGTTGCTGTTTATTTCCTTTCTCTACTTTTTATGCAGACAGGTTTTTCCTATGAATGCATTATAACCAAAACCACCATAACTTCACCCCTAAATAGTTGCCATGAAAGAGAAACTGAGAATCTTCTGAAATCCAGTTAGTGAAGTGTGCAGTATACATATATAAAAAACATCAATTTCAAGTTCAGCCTGTACTTCTAGCCTCTAAACTGACAAAAATAATTGCACCCTGCCAAAGGGGGCTGATCTAACAGACCTGAAGTTTTCAACATGTCATTTTTGAAACTTGAGGGAAGATAGGGCAACCTCAAAAATATTCAAAGAGCTAAATAAGAAACATAAGCAACTAGCACCCAGTGTAAAAGAAAGGAAAAGGCATTATGGCCACTGAAATGTCTTCCAAGATCCACAAATCAAAAATGCTGAGACACCATGATAGGTGGAGTGATAAGGTTGAAGTTGTAGGATGATGCCTCTAGAAGAGTCCTATAATAAGGACAGACTTGTGTAAAGAACTGGTTCTCTGCAAGGTGATTGGAACCATCAGAGTTCAATTTCTTAGATTTTTCCAATAAGAAAACCCATAGCAATCAGCAAGGATCCTTACATCCTGCATTCACCCAAAGATTCAGCAATTTCTTCAGGACACAAGCACAGAAACTGTGACCACATTGTAACAAAGGGAAAACACCTGTGCCATTCAATGAGCTAATAATACTTTTAATAAATAATTTTTCAGTAGCAGATTTAAAAAATAAAATGATCAATCCCCAGTCTCAAAGAAAAAAAAAAAAAAAAATCCCAACTGAGCAACGCCTGAGCTGCTAGTCTAGAACTTCTGCTCTTTTCTGCCTGTTTCTAAAGGAAAACAAAGAAAAGGTTTGTGTGATGTCACAGGATCAAACATCAGTAAGATAGTCCAGATGAATATTCACTGCACATATTAACTTAAAGAAAAAGCACTTTTCTAATAGCAGTGATGAATTCAAATAGCTTAAAAATAATTAAACCTAGTACAAAGTCTTGAAATCACAGATGGATTTTTCTTTTTCATAAATCAGCTAGAACAGCAAACAGCTAATACCTGTGTTTCACTGAACAGCAAGCTGTTTCACAGTACACAAGAGATAACAGAGGAGAAAGACTTGTTTTACTGACTGAGACTTACATGTATGGGCGAAGCAGGATCAGGCTGAACGCTCTAAAAACAAAACAGAAAAAAACATGTTTGCTTACAGGATTTTTTCTTTCTAAAAGTTAGAAGATAATTCAGCAATTGGCTATGAACTTGAGTCCTACCTTGAGGAGAGAATACTGGCAGCTGGCCATTACAAGACAGAACAACAGAACCCAAATGTCTTTACAGAAGCCTTGGTTCAGAGTCAGGAATCCAAGAAGTGAAACAAGAACTACTAGAAGGACAGCAAACACATTTTCCTTTATATCTTCTGTCCTATGTGAATAAAAGTGTTGGAGAAGTACAAATATTTGTAGATTCATTAGAGCAAGGCAGGTGCATTTGTAGCTGGTATGAACTGTGAGTGCTGCAGCCATCAGAGTTCACTGGATCCCATAACTACATTTCCACGTTCAACAGTATTTCATCCCCATGCCAAAAACCTTACCCAAAATGATAGCTAAAACGTTACAGGAAAAAAAAGCCATATGCTCTGAAGTCTAACATCCCTTCCCATCTCACTTTCCAATTAGAATTCCACAATGGAGATGATTTTAGTGTAGAAAAGTGTATGCTTATAAAAGCCAAAACAAACAAAACAAAAAAAACCCCAACACATGAAGAACTACAAATAACATCAAATACCCAAACACTTTTAAATGAGGAAATAAGGCATTCCATTAATGAAAAATATACATCTGACAGCAAAGAACTGGATGAAAGACCAAATTTGTCATCTGATGTTTTATTTGTTTTATCTATTCTGTTAGAACACGGAAGCTGAGATAAAAAACGGTGTCAATATTCAGGCTGTAACAAAAGAGCTTATCAGCAGAAAACATTTCCATGCAATTGAAACATAGAGATAAAACACTACAGATAAGTAAATATCTGCTCTGGACTTGAAACTCCCTGACATGTAGCCTGATTTCTGCATCAGGTAAAACTGCCATCTGAAATTTGTGCTGTGGAGTCCATGCTAACCCATATGGCACAGCACCACCAACAGAAGCAGAGACAATTAAACTTGAACTGGAACAGATGCAGCAGCTCAAAAAAAAAATCTTCACCTGAATACCATTCTATAAATAATTTTCTTTTTTTAAACATTGGAGTACTTGTTTTACAATACCCTGGGACCATTCTACTACTGATTTTCTCATCAGAAATCATTGGATTTGTAACATCTGTGAGTCAAATTACAGACTAGTCTACAAGCCTGGCACTCACATGAATCAAAGTCTCTACCTGAAGACAAAGGGCAGCAAGAACCACTGAAACCAACCCTGAACTTCAACTTAAAGCAAAAACACATCTATCTACTCAACATCTATCTGTTCAACCTGAATTTTCTTTCTCTAGTGATCAGCACTGCTCTCTGGACAGGAGGAGCCACCCACCTTAGCACTACCTAGAACAGCTTAAAAAAAACAAGCTTACCTGTCCAACAGTGCCAGCAAGGTGAGACGGTCATACCAGACTTTAATCCACTTGCCAGGGAATATCACAAATCTGTAAAACTGCCTGTTCAGCTTCCTTTGTGCTGAAGAGCATGAAGAATCCTCAGGGTCCTGGCTGGGCTGCTATAAAAACAAACAAGAAATACACAAAACTCTCTCACACAGCTGCCAGCAAAACAGGAGTCCAAAAGGCCAAATTTACATGAAGCACCAGATTTTTTTTTTTTTTTTTTTTTTTTTTTACTAAAAGCAGTCGTGGGAGCATATTGGCAAATTTATTTTCTTAATTTTACGTTAGAAACAAAAATATCACACCAGCTTAATTGTTGCAGATGAAACAGAAGCTATTTTAATTATGGAGCTCAATAGTGACAATTTCCTTTAAAAAGTAATACTAAATATTAATTTAAAAAGTAATTATTTTCTAGTCTAGATCCAGTACATGTCTAAAGTTTCTTTTAGAAGATTTTCCCATGTATCAAGCTAATTACAGCACAACACAAAAACATGATAGGACAAATCCTTCTTTTTAAATAAAATTTAAAAAAAAGTAGGCCCTGAAATCTAGAGGTGTGACTTATCAACTTTTCTTCCAGACCACAGCTTTGTTTATCTTTCCAGAGATGCTTTGAATACCACATCAGGTGTGCCTCCTCAAGAACAGCAAGAGGAGGAAAAAAAATTGCAAACAAGCACAAATAGCATAAACAGCACTAATTTAAGTGTCTCTAATCATACCATCATAATCATAAATCCACCCTTTTGAATATTGCTTTTGCCAGATTCTAAGGCTTTTTCCAACTCTTCTCTACAACTTCCCTCCAACTATCTGCAGACCATCAGCCAAGCCTGCAAAGCTAGACAACAGAGGAAAAAAATCTCTGCAAAGCAGTGATTGTTTTTTACAAAGTATATCATTACTGATGTTAGGGAGGGGGAATAATCAATCATTTTTCTTCCAAGAAGAAGAAATTGAGATTTCAAATTACTGTGAATTCCAGTGGTTTTCTATCTCCTCCTAGGCAACCTTTCACCCACCCCTCCTTAAAGATAATTAATCAACAAATATACTCATTATGGAACTCTAAGCAATGTCTCCATTAGAGTTATCTGTCTTAGATTAACATTCCTAGTCAGGGCAGGGGATTTCTGTGTGAAGCAATTGATTTTAGAATCATAACTGTTAGCAAAGCACAGTTTTTTAAACAACCTGTCCACCTGCACAAAGGAATTGTTACTTTTTTTTCTCAGAATATTGGAATCATTTCTAATCTTCCCTTTCCAGGAAAAGGAATTTTACACAGAGTTTACACATGACAATGCATTACTGTGCATCAGCTGGGAAACAGCTCAGATACCCTCAGTCTGCTGGCAAACATGAGGTGAAACAGGCTAGCATAAGCCTGGAGAAAGAAATTCAAGTTTAGGCATTTTATCTCATGCCTCCAATTGACTAAAAGTGTACAGACATGCAGGGCCAGTGAGCTCAATTGTTAGTAGTGCAGGACAACCCCTTATACTTCTGAGCATTGATATGTGCAAGGGGTTGCTGGGCTTTTTGGCATTCTTTCCTTTATTAACAATTCTGAGTGACTAAAAAGCCATGAGATCAATTGTGATCCTTTCACTATGCTGACTTTAAAATCCGAAAGTTTATGTAGTCCAAATTTTAATATTTTTATTACTACTTTAAAAAGTAACTTAAACATGGGGTCAGGGCATTTTTAAAGAAAAAAATCACATTTTAAAATATTACAGTTGCTAATACTGGCACAGTTTTGTTTCTCTTGGGTCCTATTACCCAACAGAAAGTAAAGCAAAACTCAGACTGCTGCAGTCATTAACTTCACACATCTAATGTAGATTGCTCACCATAACTAGATAAAAAAATCAAAACAGTGGCAGAGAGTTCATTAAAAACACCTGAGGATCTGATCATTGAGTCCCCAGTACAGCGTAACATGCCTTTAGCTGAGTGCATAACTGAATGTTTTGGCTCCTGAGGAACTGCAACCTTTGGATGAAATCCTCTGTGTGAGTATTGCACTGCTTAGCTGGGAGTCAGATTTTTGAGCTGGATTTAGGAAACTGTCTGACTAGCCCTGAGCAAGTCACTCAAGTCTAACTGTTATTCCTCTCAAAAAGGGCTTATAAAAATTCACTTCATAAATTTATATGGTGTCAGCGACAGCCTGAAGCCCTAGCTTCACTGAAATCAATGACAATGCTTTTCCTGACTTATGTAGGCTCAGAATTTCATGTTTAAGAAAAAAAATTCAGAAACCAGGACATTCTGAAATTACTGCCTGGCTTGGCTACAAATTTGCTAATGTGACCTTGAGGAGCAGTCTCCCTAAAAGAGAAAGAAGAAATGACAATTGTTCTCTAATTTACAAGACTATAAATATCTGGAAAACATCAGAGCCTTTAGATGGAAGACACTGTCCAAATATGAAAGACACTATTTGGGACTACTTACTGATTTTTAGTTTAAAATAGTTCCTTTATACAAGTTGCTACTAGCTTAACGTTCCACTGTGAGCTCTGAGATGAAAGGCAATTAACTGTCATTTTACTGTTATTCATAAATACCAAACTAGAATTTGCCATGGCAGAGAGAAAGTCAAAGGTATCATAAAAGGAATTGTAAAAACAGATTATATAAGTCACAGACCCAAACACTGTCAAGTTCATGCCCACATAAGACCATGCAAACTGAAGTCTGAGGGCCTTTTTCTTTTACTAGCTGCATTGAGGAGGTGGCTTCAACATTCCACAGCCAACAGTCAGAGGTCTGGTTGCCCAATTCAGAAAAGTGAAACCAGACATGAGGTTTTATGGCAGCAATGAATCTGGAATAAACACTTCATACTATTAAAATCTGGTGGTGTGTCTAAAATCCTAACAGCTGTGTCCTCTTCCAAATGAAATATGGTTGAAGATAGAAGATGAACTTTTTCAGTGACTGAGTCTTTAAATAGTCCCCTAGGACACTACTCAGTGTCAGCAGAAAAGAGCTGAGTTGCGTCCATCAACATAAAACACATCTTCTCCCACATGAGCAATACCAGGAAAAGCAGTATAGCAAAAAACAACAAAATTGTCTCAGGAACAAGCCTGCAGCATTTGTTTATTGAGCAGTTAATCAAGACGCTAGAAACTCAAATATCACAGTGTACCCGTGGGTTTTCTGAAAGGGTCCTTCTGGCCACCATCAGCAGGAGCTGCTGCTGAAGCGCGCTGGCTGCTTGGTCCCCAGAAGATGGCTCTTGGCTCTCTGAAGTGGTAGTACTGGAGGAGCTGAACTGTATTTCACTGTGCGCAGAGGACAGGAAAGAAAGACATTGTTTTAAGCAGCAATATTTTCTTAACAATTCTGAGATACCACAGGACAAAGTCTGTAATTACACTACTCGTTGTCTCACAGGATTTGGGAATCTTCCACTTTCATATCTGAAATCTAGTACAGATCCACAAAGCAGTCAACACCCAAATTCAGATACACTTGATTTACTACATCCACCACAGAGAACAGATACTTCTGTATCACAGCTTTTCTCATTTTGAGATGAACACCCTCAAGGAATCACACTTCAGAAATGCCTTTTTCTGTCCATTGACAATTTAAGTTTAGAGATGCACATCTACAGAGCAAAACTGCAAAGTAAATACTGCACAGATCCCAAAATAGCTTCCAATGAGCTCACTTAGGTACCAAGCTAGTCTGGTTTCACCTGCACTGAATTCACTGAGTACTGATTTACCCTGCTGAGAATTCAGGCTATGAGAATTTCCTTCTGCCCTACCAGGATAATAATACATGAGCTAATTCACATAAGGCTAATTCAGGATATCCACCATGTACTGAGTGTAAACTCACCCTGCGAGGGCCCTGAGCAAGGGGCAGAAATGTGAGGAAAAACAATATTTATTGTTTTTCCTCACATTTCCTGTTTTGTGTTGTAGTACAGCACCTAAACACTTGTGAAAATCTGCACTTATAGCAGCAGTGCCTGTTGGGTTGCAGAAATCGCGTTACCATGAAATGACTGACTGGGTTACAGAGACAATTTTATTGAAATGAAATAATTGTTAGTTGGGAAAAAGATCTATTTTGAATACATCTTTCTAATTCTCTTCCAAATGGGATTTGCACATCAAGCACTCTGGTCCAAGCTCATTGCCCCACTGCCCCTGGATACCTGCCTTGGGCTCTTACTACTTTTGTATCTACATGAGGTGAAAGCACCTAAGTGCTCATGCAAGGCAGTCAATATCTGTTGTTCTCATTTCGCTTAAAGACAAGCAGGAGGAAAATAGAGCAATCTGCCTACAGTCAGCCAGGAAGCCTTTGGCAGTCCAAAGATTAAAACCCTCCTCTTGCATACCCTACATTTGCCCCAAAGGCACCTTATTAATTTTAGTTAACTCAACTTTCCTTGCCTTTCGTTGCCAGTTCCCAAAGGCTCCTACATGACCCTTGTTAAAGCATTAAAATTGTGATTGTCCTGCACATGACTGGCTGTTAACTTCAGCTGCAGTGGTTAGCCTTGTTCTGGAACACAGCTCAGTGTCTGGATTACTTAAAAGAAGGGCGGAAGTGTCACACCAACAGGTTGAAATGCACACACTCTTTCCTTCCCTCCAGGATCTGATAGCTCTGCCTGGACCAACAGGAACACGATCAGCCTTGGGATGTCAGCAGAGGAGACATCCTGCCTCTGGTTTCTCAGCCAGGTAGTTTATGTTTTCAAAGCCTTGATTGCTATCAGGCTTGAATTCCAGACCTGATATTCACCATGTGCCACTCCAGCAGAACTCTCAGCTGAGCAGAAATGAGAGCACCCATGCTCCTGACCCTCATGGCCTCCTCTGCACACCACACTCCTCCTGCTACAGACAGCAGCATGATCCACTCCCCAGAGTCAGGAAAGCTGTCATGTTCCCTTTGGACAGCACTAGCAATGAGAACATGTCCACCACAACCCCCTTGATATCCCAGCCACAAGGCAGCCCTCTGTAAGAATCATCTCCTTTGTCAGCAGTTATTAACAAAACAGTACAGAAGGGATGGCACTCATCCAAGATCCTGGATCACAACAGAAGATTTAAGCAGGAGGAAAATGGAGGAAGCCTTGAGGAATGTCTCCCAGGAGTAAGATTCCCACAGATAGGGACTACAGAGCAACCTTGCCCAGTCAGAAGGAAGGCAAGGGATTGTTTGTTTGTTTCCTCAGGATGAGCTGTCCCATTCCTTATCATCATGGGTGCAACCCTGAGTCTCCCTGTTCACAGCAGGAAGAAGGCAAATTTAGCCCAGGCTAGGCAGGAACACTAGCCTGGGAATTCCTGCCCACAAGGTGACTCAACAAAAGAGCAGGGGAATAAAACAGTGGTTGCTCATTCCTTCCTAAATGAAGAGTCAATCTTCACTAAATTGTTGCATCTTTAGCTGTCATTTTACAAAAGCCAAAAGTATGTTGAGATTGGACCACATCTTTAATCCCACATTCACCAAAAATGGAAATGGCAAAAGGACAGATGGATGGAACAGAATACCAGAGGAGTCTATCAGCTCTCAGAAATCAAAAATCTTTTATTAATAATCTTTCTTCCAAGCATAAACCTAGAAGACCAAATCGTCTTCCACCAGACTTGAAGCTAACCAAAAAGCCAAGAGTGCCCATAGTCTGTTTTGGATTCGCATCTAAAATCCATAGCTCCGTCTCTCAGCAAGTGGCAGAGGAGACCACAAGCAGCCAGGACACTGACTGTGGGGAACAGTCAGAAACTTTATAAGCCCGAAAAAGCAATTAAGGCAGAGAAGTTGGGAAGGCAGAGCTAGTAAAGCAATAGTTCCAAAATCAGAATCTATCATCTGGCAGTCATCAGCCTCATTTCTCTGTATCTTCTTATTCTCTCCTCATCTTCCATTTCCTTCAGCTCCTGTCTGCTGATTTTGTCTTCCTTATCCCTATTTTCCACACAACCTCCTTCTGACATTCACTTACTACCCCCAAAGATGAATTGCTTGCACAGCTACTTAGAAACTGTACATCTCATCTGATGACATTGCTATCACACTGACAGCAAACACCAGTAAGGAATGCAATGATGGTGTTTGTGTTTTTGTAAGCCTATAAACTAGATTCTATAAATTTATTACCATATATAAATAGGAGCAAACACTCTCTAATCATAAAATCATTATAACGGAGCTCATCGCAGTATAACACGGAATCTTGCTAAATAGAAAATCTGTTCATTTGCAGAATTAAATTATCAAGATCTATCACAGTAAACTGCACTGCTAATGTAAGCAAAGGTATAATTGAACTAAATTTTGAGTAATAAATTATTAACTAAAAATATCTTTGATAAACGTATAACCTATGCAGATCAAATTCAAAAGCAACATAGCACCCTCTACTGATAATTGGGTATAAAACCAGGATTTTTTTTCTGGCTCATAATCCCATTTTGTAAGAACACTCAGTAAGCACAAGATAGTGGAGCAATCATATTTAACACATAGAATGTTTCAGTACAACCACACAGTGCTGGAAAAATCTTATTTCTCCCCCTCTGTTTAGCCTGTTGCCTTAGACGACCAACAACTTGGCCTGAACCATTCAAACATAATCCAGCCTAAGTCATCCCCTTTGTTAGGATTAGCTTGCCTTGGGTCTGACCCCTCCATGAGTTCATTATACAGGCAGACCACAAAGAATTCCTTGTTAACAAAGCTGTTTTGCAGGTCTTGGTTAAATTTCATTTTAACCTGCATGTTGGAGAAAAGACAGGTCTGCACATGCTAAAAACCAGAAAGATCTCACTGGACTGCCTAAGACAGCTGTCTGGGTCACTACAGAGTTACAGTGTATAATAAATATCATAGTGATCATAACTAATACAGCTGAAAACTGTGTGTTACACTCCCTAAAATACTGCCCTTAGGTGATGGTTAGCAGCTATGGCTGGGAAGAGCCAGAAGGACGCTCAGAGTTGGAAATGTCTCCTCCTGCACATCCAACAAGCAGCTGCTTCTGGAGTACTGGTCTGAGGGGCACCCAAAAGCACTGAACTGAGACCTGAGGGATGTGCTTGTACAAAACCCAGCCAGTGCTGACAACACAGCAGGAACTCAGCACACCCATACCCTTGTGCTCTCTCTAAACAGTCAGTTTGTGGCTCAACTACAGCTGTCTGAACTGATGCTGCTCATTAGGTCTCCACTAGAGAGCTGCCAGCACCAATCTGACCAGAGTACTGCACAATTCAAGACTGACACTAAAAGCCACTAAAGTTGTGGATGTTGCTTCTTCTAAGAAAATGATGGCTCACAGTTCCCAAATAACAGCACTCACACTAAAAAGCAACTCGGAGCATGTAAGAAGGCTGAAATATGTCAGTGATAGCTGCATTAGCAGTGGATAATTATGTGACAAATCCAATCACAAGAAAAAGAAAAAACTCAGAGAAAGCACACTTCACATATTTTTTTTGTAAGACTTAGCAGCTTCATAAAATGTAGAATTATTTCAGAATGTGCATATTAACTTTCTTCAGTGCTTACATCTAATGACAGCTCAAGCTAAAGATTAAATTTCTCTTAAATGTTGTTCATATTTTGCTAGTTGTACAAATGTGTATTTAAACACATTTTACTACAGGATTTGGGGGTAATTTTTGGCATTTGTTTTAACTAGCAAAAATAACACCTTTAATAACAAAAAGGCAGAGTATCTGAGTTTACAGAATGTGAAAGCTAGATGTAGTGATATATTGACACAACAGGCAGAAAATATATCAGATCACTTTTGCAGTGTTGCAATAGACTGCAAAACAAGCAGTGGTACATATTAAGTCAACTACTGCAGATGGACAGAAAGGCCTTGTAAAGCACGTTCCCAATGACACTGTTGACAGTATGAAGGCAGGAAGTGATGAATGCCTTCTTACTCAAATGTTAAGAATGGGGTCCATTCAGTATACTCTTATTTTCCAGTATTCATTTTTTTATGAATGTTAATAAGCATGTAAAATGATAATTTGAAAGCTTATTACATTTCAAAGCAAAGATAAATGTACTAAAAACTTTAAAAACAAACAGTATGTGTTAGCTAATAAACTAGAGGATGCATTTTGAGAAGATGCAGCCTTATTGGCATTAGTGCATTAATAGTTTCCACAGTTGTGTTATCTCAAATACTTTAAAACATTCCTTTTTGCTCTCGTTATGGGAGGGCAGGGTATGGGAGAGAAACCAGTCCCAACACATGAAGCACTCCATAAACTCCTAGTACTGAGCAGGA